TTATTCTGTTTATAAGAGATTATTTAATGATTATGTTTTTATTGATAGGCCCAGGGAAATCCTGGGCAAAATGATACGTCTTTATAACATGCCTGGAGCAGACCGAGGGACGATGCTTCACCCGACCTACGCACTTTCTCACATTGTGGTTTGGTTGCCTGTCATTTCTTGTTATTAAAATAACAGCCATTATAGATGTAATGCTGGAGATAACTTGATTAAGATCTGTGGTTTTTAATAAGTTAAAAGGAGCCGGGAGGCCTCCAGTGTCAAATCGGAACCACAAAACTATGTGGTCTAACCTTAACTCTAACTCTTCCACACCCCACACACCCCACACACCCCACAATACAATAGTTTCCTGATTAAAATCAACCCCTCCCTAGGGCTGCTGTTTTTCCTACGGAGGAAAACGTACAGGTACCGTATAGATCCTTTTGAGACCCAAGTAGATGTGACACTCATCCTGCACTTTGGGATTTGGGGTGAATTTTGCAAAACAAATAACAGGCAGGGGTGGGGCAGAGCTGAGCAGAATGAAAGGTAAAGGTAAAGGGACCCCTGACAGTTAGCTCCAGTCGCGGACGACTCTGGGGTTGCGGCGCTCATCTGCCTTTATTGGCTGAGGGAGCCAGTGTACAGCTTCCAGGTCATGTGGCCAGCATGACTAAGCCACTTCTGGCAAACCAGAGCAGCAAACGGAAATGCCGTTTACCTTCCCGCCGGAGCGGTACCTATTTATCTACTTGCACCTTGATGTGCTTTCGAACTGCTAGGTTGGCAGGAGCAACGGGAGCTCACCCCATCGCAGGGATACGAACCGCTGACCTTCTGATCGGCAAAGTCCTAGGCTCTGTGGTTTAACCCACAGCGCCACCTGCGTCCCTAGAATGAAAGGAGGAGGGTGTTTTTTTTTAATTTTCTGCTTCTGCTGTAATCTGACTGGAACCCCCCCCCCCAACCCCATGCCAGCTATTTGTGATAGGAGGAAAGAAGGCATGCAAATTAATGGTCTTGCTGCTGTTTGTTGCTGGCATCCGTCCACCTCAGTAGATAACGAAGGAGTGCACCTTTAGGAGTGAAGTCAAACTGTTGGAAGGTTGCAGTTCCTCCTGTGTCTAAGAGACCAATGCGGGAGAGACATGTTTTATTGCAGCTGGGTTAGATGAAAGCGTCTGGCTGTGCTGCTGGCAGATGCACCATTGCGTTTCTTCTCTCTGTGCTCCTCCCAGCAGTCATTCCTCCTCTGGTCATTGCTATGGATACACGACGTCCCTGTCTGTCTCCACTGACCAGCAAGGCCTAATTCTGCCCACACCTTTTCTCGTTGCCATCAACCACCCTCAGCCCCACACAAGAGAGCGATGGGGAACCTTTGGCCCTCCAGAGATTGCTGGACTCCAACTCCCATCAGCCTCAGCCAGCATGGCCAGTCATCTGGGATGATGGGAGTTGCAGCTCAGCAACTCAACCTTTGGAGGTAATAATAATAATAATAATAATAATAATAATAATAATAATAATAATTTATACCCTGCCCATCTGGCTGGGTTTCCCCAGCCACTCTGGGCGGCTTCCAACCGAATATTAAAAACAATACAGCATCAGAAATTAAAAACTTCCCTAAACAGATGTCTTCTAAAAGTAAAATAGTTGTTTATTGTCTTGACATCTGTTGAGAGGGCGTTCCACAGGGCAGGCGCCACTACCGAGAAGGCCCTCTGCCTGGTTCCATGTAACCTCACTTCTCGCAGAGAGGGAACCGCCAGAAGGCCCTTGGTGCTGAACCTCAGTGTTCGGGCTGGATGATGGGGGTGGAGACGCTCCTTCAGGTATGCAGGACCAAGGCCATTTAGGGCTTTAAAGGTCAGCACCAACACTTTGAATTGTGCTCGGAAATGTACTGGGAGGCAATGAAGATCTTTCAGGACTGGTGTTATGTGGTTGCGGCAGCCACTTCATGTCACCAGTCTAGCTGCCGCTTTCTGGATTAATTGCAGTTTCCGAGTCACCTACAAAGGTAGCCCCACATAGAGCGCATTGCAGTAGTCCAAGCGGGAGATAACCAGAGCATGCACCACTCTGGTTAGACAGTCTGTGGGCAGATAGGGTCTCAGCCTGCGTACCAGATGGAGCTGGTAAACAGCTGCCCTGGACACAGAATTAACCTGCGCCTCCATGGACAGCTGTGAGTCCAAAATGACTCCCATAGGCTCCCCATCCCTGATAAAAGAGTTTATATAGCAGACAGTTGAGTCAAAGCCTGCTTCTCTCCTTTCCGGAGAAAGCAAAAGCCTTTGGGCATAAAAAGAAAATGTAAAGCCCCTTTCTTGTCATTTTAGCAGAAGCAAACAATACCAAATACAAGGGCGTACGATTTCTAGAAGAGGAGAGAAGTGGAATGCATATCAGCAAAAGTACAGGAGCGACAGGTAAGTTCTAGGGGACGGAGAATGGATGGGGAAAGGGAAATGAGGAAGGAAACAAAGGCGATGCTGGCAGAGGGAGTGTGCAGGCATTGATTTTCCTCCCTAAGAGAAAGCTTGTGTGTCCATGATGCACGCTAGACTTAGGCTCTCTTCAACTTTTCCTTCTTTCTTTTCTGCTCACCCAGGGATGAACACGTCAACCGATCAGGCTGAGAGTTCGTCTAACAGGCCAGTTCTGGCATCTCCCCCAAGTAAGTTCCCTTTAGCTGGGGGCTGGTCCTCCTCCACCCCAAAACCAAACATTTTGTAATAAGTAAGAGAGAAATGCCCTGGAAAGTGTGCTGTGCATTTGTTGTTGTTTAGTCGTTTAGTCGTGTCCGACTCTTCATGACCCCATGGACCAGAGCACGCCAGGCACTCCGGTCTTCCACTGCCTCCCGCAGTTTGGTCAAACTCATGCTGGTAGCTTCGAGAACACTGTCCAACCATCTCGTCCTCTGTCATCCCCTTCTCCTTGTGCCCTCAATCTTTCCCAACATCAGGGTCTTTTCCAGGGAGTCTTCTCTTCTCATGAGGTAGCCAAAGTATTGGAGCCTCAGCTTCAGGATCTGTCCTTCCAGTGAGCACTCAGGGCTGATTTCCTTCAGAATGGAGAGGTTTGATCTTCTTGCAGTCCATGGGACTCTCAAGAGTCTTCTCCAGCACCATAATTCAAAAGCATCAATTCTTTGGCGATCAGCCTTCTTTATGGTCCAGCTCTCACTTCCATACATCACGCATAGTACTTGCTTAATGTGATGTTTCCTACCTCCCGTCCCCACAAACAAATCAGAATGAAGGCTCAATAAACAGATCATCTGGAAACATCCTCTGTGCATCATATCCTACTCGGGGTGGTCTCATTGTAATGAATGAACATAACTAACTTACTTCAGTCCATTAGTTTGAATGGGTCTACTCTGAGTAAGGACTACGGATGGCTAATGGTGCATCTTGGTTTGAGAAGCAGTTGCTTTTGCACAGTGCAAATTGGTTTAGCTCTTGTGTCCGCCAGCAAGCTACTACTGCTCTTCTCAAAGCACAACAGCGATTGGCTGACTGTTACAGCTCTATTTGGTTTTTGGAGGGCAAAAGTCCACAGTGGAGACCCTCCTTTGTACCCACAGAGTCTCCCCACACAATTTAAAACCCTGAAAGTGCAGGTCTTTAAAAAGATGGGAGCGCAGTGCAGAAAACTCAGCGATAGCACTGCCGCTTGGACTCTCTGCCGTAGCTGAGGAAATGACTGCTGCTTGTTCCAGAGAGAGTAGTGTGTGGAAGCAACTCAGGATTGCTTCCTTTTCCTCTTGTTCCCACTGGCATGCTTGGCGAAATAAGAACTCACTTGCTTGCTCTTCTAAGCAGTGGCAGGGAGATCAGGACCAAGCAACGGCCATCTAGCTGCAACGTGAGGGGTTTCCACTCAGATTCTTGGAGAGAGTACTTCTGGGAGGGATCATTCCAAGGTTCCCAGGATCTTCATCCAAGCACTGTTGGGCAGGTATCTTCGTTTCCGCCCCACGTTTTGAGAACTTGCATCTCAAAATGTTCCCACACTTCCTTTGATTACTATTCCCATGCCTCTGAGTGTGGGAATGTTCAGGGATGCAGGAGAGGATATATTGTTTGATTATAGCCTTTCCAACTTGTGTAAACAAGTTCACAATTTAGTAGAGTAACATCCCCCTTTTTAAACTTGCAGCAGATGCGTTAGCTCAGGCTCACTAAAGCCTCCATAATAACTGTTCTGGTATTTTCCCTTTATTCCCTCATAAAAGATAAGACACGACACAGTCTTCTATAAAAGTGTAAAAAAGAGTTTACTCACTCTCTGTTCACAATCAGATCCCAGAAGGCAGACTTAGCTTAGAAAAGTAACATACACCTGGAAACTATTTCATAAGGAGACAGTTCCTTTGTCCTCTCTTGGCTGGAGGCCAAGAGAGCATCTTTGGCTAAGCAGATGTTGCTTCTTCGATGCATGTAGTCAAAGAGAGAGAGATGGCTGCCCTGCCTTGTGCTTTTGTCGTTACCTGCACAGGTGAGGCCACGCCCACCTCTAGTCACATGCAGAGGAAGTCTGTCCCAGCCCGGAATGAAACAGGAAGTTTACCTGGTGGCTGGACAAACAGTCATCTCTGTGTGTAAACATGTTCACTCTAGGAATGTTGTACTTGACTGCTCTTGTGTTTCACATCCCACACTGAGCTCTAAGCAAAACATTAGAGAAGAACGGTGTCTGTCTCTCTCCTGCAGTGAACGTGGGTGCTTCTGTCTCTTTCACAAAGGCAGCAAGTGACAGTGACTCTACGGTCTCCAACATCATTCATTTGAGCTTAGCGGCCTTGATTGTCTGTCTCCTTGGCCTGATCATAGCAGAGGTAAGTGTCTTTCCCCTGCGTTTATACCCTAGGCATTCATATACTGTTTCACAGAATCATAGATTTGGAAGGGACCACAGGTGACAAAAAGGTAAGGGACCCCTGGATGGTTAAGTCCAGTCAAGGGCGACTATGGCGTTGTGGCGCTCATCTCGCTTTCAGGCCGAGGGAGCTGGCATTTGTCCACAGACAGCTTTCTGGGTCATGTGGCCAGCAAAACTAAGCTATGGTTACCAGACGTCCCCGTTTCTGGGGACAGTCCCCAGATATACAAATCTGTCCCCGGACAAAATCTGTCCCCAGACTTCACTTAATGTCCCCGGATTTATATTTTATGTGTTGTAGATTTATTAGTAGGGAATGAATAATGTGTGATTGGTTTAACGACACAAGGCACATCATATGGGGACATCTGGCTAGGCAAAATGGCGGATGCTATGGCAGTGAGCAGTTCCTGAAGCCAGCCAAAGCCAACTGTGCTACCAGGCAGGCTCCGGGCTGCTGAGACTGCCGCTGCTGCCACCATTGCAGAGGGGGAACCAGGGATGCCCAGCACGTCAACTGGGGGAACTGCTGACCACCCTCACGACCCAAATCGAGCCAGGAGCGAGAGCACCCGGTCACCAGCCGACTGCTCAGTGGCACTCCAGGGCCAGTAAAACCCCTGGAGGTGACGCAGGGAGAAGGAGGAGAGGAGAAGGAGAAGGAAGAGAGAGAAAGAGGAAGGAGAAAAAAGAGGGGAGCCCCAACCTTGCTGCGTCACTGAGGATGAGAGGTAGGAGAGTACCGGAAGGGCAAGGACATGTGGCCGAGCCCAGGCCTGACCTGAGCCTACTCCACGGTGGCTAGCACTCCAAGAGAGTAGGTTGGGGCCCAGAGGAAGGCCACGTGACAGAGCAGACCACAAAAGAGAGGATATTACTTCTCAAATTAAAAAAACAACTTAAAAACAAACAAACTATTTATCTCTTATATATATATATATAAGTGTCCCCAGATTCTTTGAAAAAAAAATCTGGTAACCTTAGACTAAACCTGGCGTGATGGGACACCGTGATGGAAACCAGACCGCATGGAAATGCCGTTTACCTTCCCACCTATTTATCTACTTGCGCTGGCATGCTTTCGAACCGCTAGGCTGGCAGAAGCTGGGACAGAGCAATGGAAGCTTACCCCGTCACTAGGGATTCGAACTGCCGACCTTCTGATCGGCAAGCCCAAGAGGCTCAGTGGTTTAGACCACAGCGCCACCTGCGTTCCACTGCAATGCAGGCACCTTTTGCCCAACGTGGGGCTCAAACCCACAGCCTTAAGATTAAGAATCTCATGCTCTACCGAATGAACTACAGTATTTTTTGCTCTATAAGACTCACTTTTTCCCTCCTTAAAAGTAAGGGGAAATGTGTGTGCGTCTTATGGAGCGACTGCAGGCTGCGCAGCTATCCCAGAAGCCAGAACAGCAAGAGGGATTGCTGCTTTCACTGTGCAGTGATCCCTCTTGCTGTTCTGGCATCTGAGATTCAGAATATTTTTTTCTTGTTTTCCTCCTCCAAAAACTAGGTGCGTCTTGTGGTCTGGTGCGTCTTATAGAGAGAAAAATACATTATCCCCCACTTGCAGTGGGAAGTTTAAGGCAATCTTTAGAAACTGTTTCTGAGGGGACAGAAAATTCTGGAAGCATCCATGGTCTGTAGTGTTAAAAAGATGTACAGTGGTACCTCAGGTTAAGAACTTAATTCATTCTGGAGGTCCGTTCTTAACCTGAAACTGTTCTTAACCTGAGGTACCACTTTAGTTAATGGGGCCTCCCACTGCCGCCGCGCAATTTCTGTTCTCATCCTGAGGTAAAGTTCTTAACCTGAGGTATTATTTCTGGGTTACCAGAGTCTGTAACCTCAAGCATCTGTAACCTGAAGTGCCTGTAACCCAAGGTACCGCTGTATATGAAAATGTAGAATGAGCAGGTGTTATTAGGCTTCCAGGCTGTGCTTAATTAGCTACGCAGCAGATCCACACAGGCAACTGGTTATGAGCACTGCTAATTCCAAATAGATTCTTTCAGAGCTATCTTGCCAACCTCCCGTCAAAATTCCAGCTTTGAATTAAATAAATGTGAATACAGTGGTACCTCGGGTTAAGAACTTAATTCATTCCGGAGGTCCATACTTAACCTGAAACTGTTCTTAACCTGAAGCACCACTTGTTGGAGGGGGATTTCCAGCCGGTGGCAGAGAACAGAGTGACTCCAGGAGACATAGGTGTAAAAACCCAAACTAAAACGAAGACTTTATTACTAAGCAAATAAACACAAACTCTGGTGGGTGTTATTCCTGCAGGCAGGCAACAAAACTCAGCTTTTTTCCTTTATAGCAACGGTCACCTGCAGCCAATTAATCCCAGAAACTTCTTAAAGGTATACACACATGTTTCTGTGCCGAATGTCCTCTAACACCCCCTCTCATTCAAACAGAAACAATAGTATTTTAAACAGAACAGAACATATTTACATATCACACACAGCAACTCCCAACTTTGCTACCAGTCGTGCATGTTTTTCAAAGGTTAACGCTTTTGTAAATACATCCGCCACATTTTGTGTACTTTCACAATACTTCAGCATTATCTGGTTCTGTTTTACATTTTCAGCTACATTTTGATATTTAATTTCCAAATGCTTTGATTTGTTTCTAAACTGGTCAGATCCAGACAAGGTTATTACGGCTTGATTATCTTCCATAATTTGAATGGGATAATCACACTGTACGTTTATATCCTTGAGGATCTGAACATAAAATTTTATTTCATTACATAACTCCGACAATGCACAGTATTCGGCCTCAGTTGATGATGTGGCCACTATACTTTGTTTTTTGGATTTCCAACCTATTAAAGAATCTCCAAATTGAAATACCATTCCAGAAATTGATTTTTTATCAGGCAGGTTGGCCCAATCGCTGTCAACGTAACACTGCAATTTTGTGGACCCTGAAGATGGTAATCTTAAACAATAATCAAGTGTTTGCTTTAGATACCGGAAAATACGTTTTAAACCTTTCCAGGCATTTTCTGTAGGACAGCTTACTAGTCTGCTTAGTATTCCAACTGCATAACTCAAATCTGGTCTGCTCCACAATGAAATGTATAATAAACTTCCAATTATTGAATGGTACATTTCAGGATTTACAGGTTCTGTGCATTCTCCTTCATTTTTGAAAAAAACCTATTTCCATTGGGGTTTTTACTCCCTTGCAGTTTTGCATATTGTTTCTTTCAAGTAACTCCATTATTTTGTCTTTTTGACTCAACAAAAAACTTCCATCGTTTGTTCTTTGAATTTCTAAACCGAGATAATTTTTTACTGGCCCCAAATCTCTTACTTTAAATACCTTTCTTAGTTGTTCTGCAAATTTTTCCACTTGCTTGCCACTTTTTGTAGAGTAAAGCAAATCATCAACATAACACAAACACAATTCTTGTTTATCACCCTTTCCTTTAGTGTACAAGCAGTTATCAGCTAAGCTTCTTTTAAAACCAAGATTTTTTAAAGCATTATCAAGACACTCGTTCCAATTTCTAGCTGACTGTTTGAGCCCATAAATTGCTTTGTTCAGCCTATATACAGAATTCTGTTCTCCTGCCTCAAAACCTGGCGCTTGATTCATAAAAATTTCTTCTTGCAGATTTGCGTTAAGATAAGCTGTTTCAATATCAAAATGGTTTACCTTAAACCCACGTTGTGCTGCAAGAGCTAGCAATAAACGTACAGTTTCACTCCTTGCAGTAGGAGAAAAGGTTTCATCAAAGCTTTCACCTTTTCTTTGAGTAAAGCCTCGTGCTACCAGTCTGGCTTTGTACTTAACATCACCATCTGCCAAGTGTTTTATTTTATACACCCATCTACAGCCCACTGCCTTTTTTCCTTCTGGCAATGGTTCAATAGTAAAGACATTGTGTTCTGCTAAAGATTTCATTTCTGCTTTCATTGCATTTTTCCACCTTACTATTTCCTGGTGTGGTAACTTTAAAACTTCCTCATAATCACGAGGTTCCTTTTTCACATCAACAGTTTTAGCTTCTTGTATAGTAAACCTTTCTGGAGGTACCCCCTTATTGCTTCTTTGTGACCTTCTAACTTGAACACTCTCCCCCTCTGAACTATCTTCCCCTTCTGATTCATCCTGCTCAGGAGAAATTGGTTCAGCTTTAGGAGATTGTGTACTGGGATCCTCATCCCCTGAATCCTCATCACTGTCACTTTCAGAACCTTCTTTAATTTGTGGCTTTTCTTCCTCAGATTTCACAAATTTATCTGTATCATCAGAAGATAACACAACTTCTGAATTTCCATGTAAACGAACCCAACCATCTTGCTCACAAAACTCTGCATGTCTTGATATTACAACTCTGCCACGCCCTAGTGCAAAACGATACCCCTTTGACCAAGTTTGATAGCCAACAAACCTAAGTTTCTTTGCCTTGGGCTCTCCTTTCCTTCTCTGTCCTTTTGGGATGTGAACCCAAGCCCAGCAACCAAAAGTTTTAACATGGTCCAAAAAGGGTTTTTTTCCATAAAGCAAAAAATGAGGGGTGTTGTTTATGGTAGAATGAAACAATCTGTTCTGTATGTAGTTAGCACACAGAATTCCTTCCCCCCAATACTTCCTGGATAGGCCAGAATCACATAGCATTGAATCTAGCATTGTTTGTAAAGATCTTATCTTGCGTTCTGCAACTGAATTTTCTTCAGGCGAAAAAGGACACGATTTACGGTGACTAATACCACGCTTTTTCAACCAAACTTGGAGGGCTTCAGACATAAACTCGCCTCCACGGTCACTTTGCAACTGGGTAACTTTGTAGGGAAACTGCCTTTCTATATAGTTGACCCAATTCTTAATCAGTTGACCAGTTTCACTTTTGTGTTTTAACAAATATACCCAAGTATACCGGCTATAATCATCCACAAGAACCAAAAAAAACTTTGCTCCTCCTTCAGACTCTGCAAATGGCCCACAAAGGTCTGAATGTACTAAAGCAAATGGCCTCTTGCTAATTCTAGTACTTTCAGGATAAGACCCTCGCTTACTTTTAGACTCCTTGCAGGTATTGCAGTCTAGAAAAACTGAACATTTTTTCATTTTAATTCCCTTGCTTAATTCTGGCATTTTTGCAATACTGCGGAAATTGGCATGCCCCAAACGACGATGCCACAGATGCTGGCACTCATCATGCAAGGCTCTATTACAGGCTTTAACACATGCCCCAGACTCACTTACTAGCTGGTCTTTCAAAACAAACAAACCATTTTGTAGCGACGCTGTAACCACTTTTCCAGCTTTCTCTATTCTACAGCCTGAACCAGAAAAGGTTACTTTAAATCCCTGCTTAACAAGACTTGTAACTGAAAGCAAATTATTTTCTAAACTTGGTACACATAAAACATTGGTAAACTTGGTACTTAAACAGTTGATATTCACACTACCCTTTCCAGCTGACTCATGCACTGTTCCATCAGCTAGTACTACATTTACAGATTTACAAGGCTGCTTTTCTACAAGGGTTTGTGCAGACTTAACAAAAATGTTTGTCGCTGCTGAGTCTAAAATCCAGTCTTGTCCATCGTCGTGACTGGTGCCTCGAACTGCTGCAGAAACATACTGGACTCGACTCTTCCTGTCTCCTCGCTTCCCAGCAAATGCAGGCCGCCCTTGTCTTGTATTTTCTCCCACAGACACAGTGCACTGTCGTACTAAATGCTTGGTTGACCCACAACGATAGCATCTTCTAACTGTGAACGCTGCTTCCTCTCTGTGGTCTACAACCTCTTTAGGTTGCCGCTCCTCATCAGTTGCATATCTTTTACTGGACTGCCTCCCATTTCTGGAGTTACAGTGAGGGGTTGTGGCCTTCCTCTCATGGCGTCTTTCCTCCTCATCAAGCAAACGCCCAGTTAAGAAATGCATTGTTAATTGGCTTTCTGGGATTGCTTCCAGAGTCATCACTAAATTGTCCCATGACTCAGGAAGTGAAGACAGCACAATGTAAACCTTTCTCTGTTCAGAAAAATGTTCCCCAAGTTCATTTAACTGTGAAAATAAATCACACATTCTTTGAAGATGTGTTGAAACACATTCACCCTCACTTAGTCTGGCTCGGTACAGAGCTCTCGTTAGAGTAATTTTGCTGCCAGCAGTGTCTCTAATATGTATCGCTCTCAGTGCTTGCCAAATCTCACTTGCTGTTTCAAGGTCTCGCACATGAGATAACTGAGACTTCTCTAAACTCAAAATTAAATTGGCATAGGCTTTGTCCTCCAGCCTTTGGTCTGCTTCATCTACTTCTTCATCCTCCTCTTTTACAGGAGGGTTAACAATAACAGTCCAACATTGTTCTTTCTTTAAAAACGCCTGCATCTGTAAACTCCATGACATATAATTGGACTCTCCCAGTTTCTCTACTGGAAAATAGGAAGCTCCCCCTTGAGCTCCAGCTCCAAGTCCAGCCATGGCGCCACCCAGCTTTCAGCTTTCCACTCAGTCCTTACTCACACGTGGCTTGAAGAAATGTTCGGCTCCTGGTCCCAAACAGACACTCCCTGCCGATGCCTTCACACAGCCAGCTGCTTGAGAAACGCTGAGTTGCTTCCAGTCTCTGGGTTCTTTTCACGCTCTGTCTCTGCCCACTCAGGACTGGGGACTGGGCCCATAACCTGTTGGAGGGAGATTTCCAGCCGGTGGCAGAGAACAGAGTGACTCCAGGAGACATAGGTGTAAAAACCCAAACTAAAACGAAGACTTTATTACTAAGCAAATAAACACAAACTCTGGTGGGTGTTATTCCTGCAGGCAGGCAACAAAACTCAGCTTTTTTCCTTTATAGCAACGGTCACCTGCAGCCAATTAATCCCAGAAACTTCTTAAAGGTATACACACATGTTTCTGTGCCGAATGTCCTCTAACACCACTTTAGCTAATGGGGCCTCCTGCTGCTGCGCTGCCGGAGCCCGATTTCTGTTCTCATCCTAAAGCAAAGTTCTTAACCTGAAGCACTATTTCTGGGTTAGCAGAGTCTGTAACCTGAAGCGTATGTAACCTGAGGTACCACTGTATATGCCTACCTAACCACACATGCGCAAACACAAGGCAGTGCTCCAAGAGTGTGCCTTCAAACCATCTAGTGGCCAGCCAAGTCAGAAACTTCTCTTTCTTTCCACAGCATGTTTCCTTCACGTCCTTCAGCGAGAGACACTCAGCAACCAGGGATGGAAGTGGAGCCAAACTGTATCGAGAGGGGATGGAGTGCCCCTTTCCTTCTACGCCAGGCAACATCTCCCTGCTTCTGGAGATGCCAAGTTCAGATAATCTGAGAGAGCCATATTATTCCATTGTTCACTGATCACCTTCAGTCCTTCTCTACAGTATGAGATTTCTGTTGCCTTTTCATCGACTGAAGCGCTTATGTGATTATAGGTGGGTTTATATATGAGAGGCTAAGGCTGCGATCCTATACTCAGGTGAGCAAGTGCTACTGAACTTAGTGGGGCTTCCTACCATTGAAGGAAAGAGCCATCTTCTTATGCATTCATAGGCAATCCAAAATTCCTAACACAGGAGTGGCTGGGGGCGGTGTTGCTTGCAATGGAGCAAGATGCTCACATAGCTTTGAGCTCTGCATCTCATGAAGGCTTTTTATTTTTCACAAAACCTTTTTCCCAAATGTGCACTAGCACAAGCTACTCTAAATCAACAGGGTAATCAACCAGGCAGAGGGCCTTCTCGGTAGTGGCACCGGCCCTGTGGAATGCCCTCCCATCAGATGTCAAGGAAATAAACAACTATCTGACTTTTAGAAGACATCTGAAGGCAGTCCTGCTTAGGGAAGTTTTTAATGTTTGATTTTTTTATCGTGTTTTTAATATTCTGTTGGGAGCCAGCCAGAGTGGCTGGGGAAACCCAGCCAGATTTATTAGAAATAATAAATGATGATGATGATGATGATGATGTCTGGCATTGCAGAAAATAAAAATAAAATAAAATCTACGAAAACCCCCAATGAAAACAGCGTGTAGACATTTTGCAATTTTATTATAAAGTAAGATAAGACAAGAAAAATTCAACAGCAACATTTAAAATAATAATAAGATTGCTAACACTGTAATTACAATGTGGGAGTACGTCCAGGACACACCACCTGCAGGGAAAGAAAAAGAAAAGTGGGGTTCAGTAGGTTATTTCTCCTACATAAATTAATAGTGAACTCATTATCTGGGTGTTGATCCATATTAACCAAAAGCAGCATCCATACATAAGGAGGTGTTTATCAGAAGACTGGAGAAACACGAAGGTTTGCCTATGTGTTTCCCCGTCGCTTTCGCTTTCCCTGGCTGTTATGTACTGAGTTGAATAGGATCCAAAATGTAGCAGTCTGATTGGTCCTAGAACAATAGGATCCAAAATGCAGCAGTCTGATTGGTCCGCAGGAGCCACCCAATCCAGCTCCAGATGGAAGTGAATCCACAACCTGATTGGCCTACAGGAGAATTCCGGAATTAGCCAATCACGTGCAGCCCATTGTGTAAATAATGTATATAAAGCAGACATTCTGGGGGAACTTTCATTCCTCCTCACCACTATGAGCTGAATAAAGAGCATGAAATCCACTCTCGACTCCGAGTACCACTTTAGCTAATGGGGCCTCCTGCTGTCGCCGCACAATTTCTGTTCTCATCCTGAGGTAAAGTTCTTAACCCGAGGCACTACTTCCGGGTTAGCGGAGTCTGTAACCCAAAGTGTTTGTAACCTGAGGTGTTTGTAACTTGAGGTACCACTGTATTTGCTTAGAGAAACAAATTCTCTTAACGACTTGTAAGCTACTTTAGCATTACAGATTTGCACTTTTCAGGAACTTCACCAAAGGCAGTACAGTGGTACCTCGGGTTACATACGCTTCAGGTTACATACGCTTTAGGTTACAGACTCCGCTAACCCAGAAATATTACCTCAGGTTAAGAACTTTGCTTCAGGATGAGAACAGAAATCGTGCAGCGGCAGCAGGAGGCCCCATTAGCTAAAGTGGTGCTTCAGGTTAAGAACAGTTTCAGGTTAAGAACAGACCTCCGGAACGAATTAAGTACTTAACCCGAGGTACCACTGTATAAGAAGAACGTAAGGCACAGAGCCCTAGCTAAGGGCCATGGATCAGTGCCCTCTTTCGGCTAGAGATGTGCTTGTATTGTTGGCCTCTGTCTGACTCGAGAGACAATGGAGTGCGCTTCCGGGGGTGAAGTCAAACGGCTGCATTTGCAGCACCAAAGTGACCTCCCCGGGATGCAAGCCTGGGCAGAGTGTATGGAGGTCCTGAACTGCTCAATCGACAAGACTCCCCTCTCAACATCCCTGATGTGACCCAAAGGAAAGCAGAGCGATACGTTTGGCACCTGCTTGGCTGCAGGAGTTGTCGGAAGGAGGCGTACAAGGAGCCATCCAACTGTCTTAAGGACCCCACTGCAGATTTGTGTAGGGTTTAGTCCTTTGCCTTGCCTTCTCACAAAGATATCCCACAAGGCAGTGGAGGTTTAGGATCAGAACTTTCCTTCTCCTAGATGGGCTCTTTTCCAAGGTTGACAAGGGCCGAATTAAGACTACTAAAAGTTTTTGGTGCCCCTACAGATGTCTAATTCAAAATATAAATAACAATAAACTGTAAAAGTGTAAAACATTAATCTCTATTTCTTCTTCTTCTTCGTTAAACCTGGTTCAGCTGTACAGTGGTACCTCGGGTTAAGAACTTAATTCGTTCCGGAGGTCTGTTCATAACCTGAAACTGATCTTAACCTGAGATACCACTTTAGCTAATGGGGCCTCCTGCTGCCGCTGCACGATTTCTGTTCTCACCCTGAAGCAAAGTTCTTAACCCGAGGTACTATTTCTGGGTTAGCGGAGTCTGTAACCTGAAGCGTCTGTAACCTGAAGCGTATGTAAGCCAAGGTACCACTGTACTTAAAAGTTTTTGGTGCCCCTATAGTAGATATCTAATTCAAAATATAAATAACAAAAAACCGTAAAAATGTAAAACATTAATCTCTAGTATTTCTTCTTCTTCATCGTCTCCTTTTTCATTTATAGTGGGAGCCTTTTTTTGGTCAAACCTGGTTCAGCTGTAGCATATGGTCCATGGTAAATCTGGCAATGGAAAATTTATGTGGTGCCCCCTTTCCTTTCCCCCTAAGCGTTGCTTATTTTGCTTAATGGTTAATCCAGTCCCACCGGCCCATATAATGATTGTGGATTCACAACAAATGAGCAAGTGCTTTTGACTCCCAACTGTTTTTTTAACAATTATAGCACCGCAGAGTCTACACAGACTCCACATCCTCTTATAGCAGAGGTGCGACACGTAAAAACTTACCTGACACGGTGACATTGATCCAGGCCACACATTTTTCAGAAATGGTGAGAAGCTTATAGATCCTGCCAGCATCTTTGCTTACGTTGTATATACGAAAAGTTCCCACTGTCACGGAAACATTCTCTTTGAAGTCCTTATGGTATGGCTTGCAGACTCCGTCACTAAACTGGCACAAAATGTCCCACTTGGAAGCTGTGTTGTTCCAAATGCAGGTGTCAAAATAAGGGTCTGAAGATTCTGAATCATTAGCAAATTTCACTGTTATTGTCTCCCCTTTTTGCACAGATTTTGAAGTACGATTAAGGCAGTTCTCACCACCTGTCAGGGATGGAACCAGAAAGAAGTTTAGTTTCAAATACTATCTCCAGCAGTATCATATATTCCTTCCAGTTTGAGCTAGTGTACCCAGGTATTTTCCCCAGTAGTGATGTATGGAAGTGAGATCTGGACCATAAAGAAGGCTGACAAGCACTGCCTCCCCCCAGCCCTGCCCTGCCCCAAATCCTGGGAACAGTATTACAATTCAGATATTACTAACTCCAAGTGGGCAGAATGCTGTTGTGCTCACATTCTGCGAGGCAACTGCTTGCCCACGAAGAGAACAGGATGGCCCTTGGGCCTGATTTAGTAACAGTCTTCCTATTTCAAAAAATAATCTTACAGTGGTAAAGGGACCCCTGACCATTAGGTCCAGTCGTGGCTGACTCTGGGGTTGCGGCGCTCATCTCGCTTTATTGGCCGAGGGAGCCGGTGTGCAGCTCATGTGACCAGCATGACTAAGCCGCTTCTGGCAAACCAGAGCAGCGCACGGAAACGCCGTTTACCTTCCCGCCAGAGTGGTACCTATTTATCTACTTGCACTTTGATGTGCTTTCAAACTGCTAGGTTGGCAGGAGCAGGGACTGAACAACAGGAGCTCACCCCGTCGCGGGGATTTGAACCGCCGACTTTCTGATCAGCAAGTCCTAGGCTCTGGTTTAACCCAAGGCGCCACCTTCGTCCCATCTTTACAGTGGTACCTTGGGTTAATTCGTTCTGGAGGTCTGTTCTTAACCTGAAACTGAGATGCCACTTTAGATATGGGGCCTCCTGCTGCTGCTGCGCCACCGGCACACGATTTCCATTCTCATCCTGAAGCAAAGTTCTTAACCTGAGGTACTATTTCTGGGTTAGCGGAGTCTGTAACCTGAAGTGTATGTAACATGAGGTACCGCTGTATACTTCCATTTTAGCAGAGCTGCTTTCCTTACAAGGTGGCTGCAGGTTATGGTTGTGTGACTGTCCCCTTCCGCTGTAGAAGCATCTCTTTGTGGCCTGCCGCCCTTTCTGCTCTATACTTCCTCAAAAACACAAGTCCATTGACAGGGCTTTCCTGCAAGCACGAGTGCTGAAGGAAGACTCCAGAGTACACAAAGTGGGAGAAAAATTCAGCACAGCCTTAGAGGGCAGCCAAATAAATCTCCTTGTTGTGTGTATGGTGCTCCAAAGCCTAGATGTGGCAACACAGCTGTCCCTAGGACATGATTGCACCAAGGGTCGTCAAGCTTATTTCTAGAATTCTCAAGAAGCTTAGTCGTAGATCATCGGTGTTAAATGCAGAAGACACCTAGGTTCCATCTCTGAGATCTCAAAAGAAACAGGTAGCAAGAGATGGGAGAGACTCTCTGCTCCACTGCCACCTGAGAACCTGGAGAACTACTTTCAGTTAGAATTCAGAGTATTGCTAGACAGGGATGGAGAGGAAATTTGACTCAGTTGACACTGAAAGGCAAATCAACCTCATTCACATTTCCCAAAATGATATGAGAGTGGAAACACAGCCTTCCTTCAAAAACCTCACTTCTCTAAAATTTGCAAGGCTCTAGCCAAGCAGTCTGTACAAAAGAGAATAACTGGAATAAAGCTGCACATATTCACCAATATAGTGCACAAAAATGCACCATCTTTGGCTAAATGGTCTTGCAAAAATCTGTATATCGGGGAAAATGTGTATATTTGCATACAAACACAAAACCTAATGAATTTTCATGAGGACTTAACAAAATTGCACACTGATCTGGAACAAGAGAACTGAAGATTGGAATAATGAGAAACCAAGAAACCAAAAATGACAGATTTGTCCATCTCTGTTGCAAGACCGAAGGCAATTATTATTATTTAAATTTCTATACTGCCCTTCATCCAAGGATCACAGGGCAGTTTGCAAAAACCCACATGCAAAGGGAGAGTGAAACAACCAGCTTC